TTTGTAAGTCATATAAACCTAATCTTTTAAAGAAACAGCTTTTTTGGTCTACAACAAAAATTTCAACCCCCAAAATTGAATACTGCTATGCAGGTAAGAGCGAATTACCTTATAAGTGACGAGATTTTAAAACGCGAAGGGATTGTTTCTTTTGGTGACGATTTTAGGGTTGCTAGTAAGTTCTTTAAATATTAATCTAGTAAACAAACACAAATGTTTTGTGTACAACAAAAATTTCAACCCCCGCAATTGAATATTGCTATGTAGGTATAGGAGATAATTACCTAATAAATTACGAGATTTTAAAACGGGAAGGGATTGTATCTTTTAGTGACGATTTTAGGGTTGCTAGTAAGTCATTTAAACATAATCTATTAAACAAACACAAATTTTTTGTGTAAAACAAAAATTTCAACCCCCGCAATTGAATATTGGTATGTAGGTATAGGAGAGAATTACCTAATAAATTACGAGATTTTAACACGGGAAGGATTGTATCTTTTAGTTACGAATTTAGGGTTGCTAGTAAGTAATTTAAACATAATCTATTAAACAAACACAAATTTTTTGTGTACAACAAAAGTTTCAACCCCCGCATTTGAATATTGTCATGTAACCAAATAGGTATACCTTGAAAAGGGCGAGATTTTAAAACAGAAAGGGATTGTATCTTTTGGTGACAATTGTAAGGTTGTTTGTAAGTCATATAAACCTAATCTTTTAAAGAAACAGTATTTTTGGTCTGCAACAAAAATTTCAATCCCCAAAATTGAATACTGCTATGCAGGTAAGAGCGAATTACCTTATAAGTGACGAGATTTTAAAACGGGAAGAGATTGTATCTTTTGGTGACGATTTTAGGGTTGCTAGTAAGTCCTTTAAACATAATCTAGTAAACAAACACAAATATTTGGTATACAACAAAAATTTCAACACCCGCAATTGAATATTGCTATGTAGGTATATACTTTGAAAATGGCGAGATTTTAAAACGGGAAGGGATTCTATCTTTTGATGACAATTGTAGGGTTGCTAGTACGTCCTTTAAACATAATCTAGTATACAAACACAAATTTTTTGTGTACAACAAAAATTTCAACCCCCGCAATTGAATATTGCTATGTAGCCATAGGTAGAACCTAATAAAACGAGATTTTAACACGGAAGGGATTGTATCTTTTGTGACATTTTAGGGTTGTTTGTAAGTCATATATAAACCTAATCTTTTAAAGAAAACAGTTTTTTTGTCTACAACAAAAATTCAACCCCAAAATTGAATACTGCTATGCAGGTAAGAGCGAATTACCTTATAAGTGACGAGATTTTAAAACGCGAAGGGATTGTTTCTTTTGGTGACGATTTTAGGGTTGCTAGTAAGTCCTTTAAACATAATCTAGTAAACAAACACAAATATTTGGTATACAACAAAAATTTCAACACCGCAATTGAATATTGCTATGTAGGTATATACTTTGAAAATGGCGAGATTTTAAAACGGGAAGGGATTCTATCTTTTGATGACAATTGTAGGGTTGCTAGTACGTCCTTTAAACATAATCTAGTATACAAACACAAATTTTTTGTGTACAACAAAAAGTTCAACCCCCGCATTTGAATATTGCCATGTAGCCAAGTAGGTAAACCTTGAAAAGGGCGAGATTTTAAAGCGGGAAGGGATTGTATCTTTTGGTGACAATTGTAGGGTTGTTTGTAAGTCATATAAACCTAATCTTTTAAAGAAACAGTTATTTTTGGTCTACAACAAAAATGTCAACCCCCAAAATTGAATACTGCTATGCAGGTAAGAGCGAATTACCTTATAAGTGACGAGATTTTAAAACGCGAAGGGATTGTTTCTTTTGGTGACGATTTTAGGGTTGCTAGTAAGTTCTTTAAATATTAATCTAGTAAACAAACACAAATGTTTTGTGTACAACAAAAATTTCAACCCCCGCAATTGAATATTGCTATGTAGGTATAGGAGATGATTACCTAATAAATTACGAGATTTTAAAACGGGAAGGGATTGTATCTTTTAGTGACGATTTTAGGGTTGCTAGTAAGTCATTTAAACATAATCTATTAAACAAACACAAATTTTTTGTGTAAAACAAAAATTTCAACCCCCGCAATTGAATATTGGTATGTAGGTATAGGAGAGAGTTTCCTAATAAATTACGAGATTTTAACACAGGAAGGGATTGTATCTTTTAGTGACTATTTTAGGGTTGCTAGTAAGTAATTTAAACATAATCTATTAAACAAACACAAATTTTTTGTGTACAACAAAAAGTTCAACCCCCGCATTTGAATAATGCCATGTAGCCAAGTAGGTAAACCTTGAAAAGGGCGAGATTTTAAAGCGGGAAGGGATTGTATCTTTTGGTGACAATTGTAGGGTTGTTTGTAAGTCATATAAACCGAATCTTTTAAAGAAACAGTTATTTTTGGTCTACAACAAAAATTTCAACCCCCAAAATTGAATACTGCTATGCAGGTAAGAGCGAATTGCCTTATAAGTGACGAGATTTTAAAACGGGAAGGGATTGTATCTTTTAGTGACGATTTTAGGGTTGCTAGTAAGTCATTTAAACATAATCTATTAAACAAACACAAATTTATTGTGTAAAACAAAAATTTCAACCCCAGCAATTGAATATTGCTATGTAGGTATAGGAGAGAGTTTCCTAATAAATTACGAGATTTTAACACGGGAGGGGATTGTATCTTTTAGTGACGATTTTAGGGTTGCTAGTAAGTAATTTAAACATAATCTATTAAACAAACACAAATTTTTTGTGTACAACAAAAATTTCAACCCCCGCATTTGAATATTGCCATGTAGCCAAGTATAGGTATATACCTTGAAAAGGGCCAGATTTTAAAACGGAAAGGGATTGTATCTTTTGGTGACATGGTGACAATTGTAGGGTTGTTTGTAAGTCATATAAACCTAATCTTTTAAAGAAACAGTATTTTTGGTTCTGCAACAAAAATTTCAACCCCCAATATTGAATACCGCTATGCAGGTAAGAGCGAATTACCTTATAAGTGACGAGATTTTAAAACGGGAAAGGATTGTATCTTTTGGTGACGATTTTAGGGTTGCTGGTAAGTCCTTTAAACATAATGTAGTAAACAAACACAAAATTTTTTGTGTACAACAAAAATTTCAACCCCCGCTATTGAATATTGCTATATGTAGGTATATACCTTGAAAATGACGAGATTTTAAAACGGGAAGGGATTCTATCTTTTGATGACAATTGTAGGGTTGCTAGTACGCCCTTTAAACATAATCTAGTAAACAAACACAAATTTTTTGTGTACAACAAAAATTTCAACCCCCGCAATTGAATATTGCTATGTAGCCAAGTAGGTATATCTTATAAAGGGCGAGATTTTAAGACGGAAAGGGATTGTATCTTTTGGTGACAATTGTAGGGTTGTTTGTAAGTCATATAAACCTAATCTTTTAAAGAAACAGTATTTTTGGTCTGCAACAAAAATTTCAACCCCCAAAATTGAATACTGCTATGCAGAAGAGCTAATTACCTTATAAGTGACGAGATTTTAAAACGGGAAGGGATTGTATCTTTTGGTGACCACAAAAATTTCAACCCCCGCTATTGAATATTGCTATGTAGGTATATACCTTGAAAATGGCGAGATTTTAAAACGGGAAGTATGTACCTTTTGGTGGCAATTTGAGGGTTATTTGTAAGTCCTTTAAACATAATATATACTATGAAAGAAACGACATTTTTGGTGCACAACCAATATTTCGACCCCCGAAATTGAATAGGTACTGCTATATGTAGGTAAGAGCGAATTACCTTATATAAATAACGAGACTTTAAAATTGGAAGGAATTATATAATACGAGAAGTACCACAAGAAACTTGAGACAAATATTTAATAGAAGATTCTTTCGGGTAGCTTTAATAGCGGACACATTCTACCAAGGGAGACAAGAAACTGGTTAAATTTGCTAACAAATCCCTAACAGATATTCAGTAATCAAAAGAACACCCCATTTATCACAAGAAGCAAACGAACTTTGTAGTATCAATTTGTTAAATGCTTCGTGTTTGTTTATTCGCAGTATAAGTTATGCATGCATGAATTCGCTTAGGTTTCTTTAGAAAGGTATTTTTTTTGCCTTAGATAATGTCATTATTCCACAAGTTCCAAATTTAACAGGAAGGCCTGTGTGATTAAGTCTTTATCTTACCACTGAGTAACACAGAAAGTTGAAAAATGGCCTCAATTTTTAGTAAATGGATATCAAGTTTGTTGAGAAAAGCTGCATATTTGCTTGATATTGGTAAAGTGTGTTTTTTAAATAAAATTTTCATCATTTGAGAAATTGTTCAATGAGCAACTAGTTTGATTGATATACACATTTGCAAAAATGTCCTGCTGAGTTAATTTGTAGATTAATTCATATAAAAATGGAATTGAAATTAAAAATAATTCATTTGAAATGATGTACTTCCAAACTTATTTCATTTATGATTAAGCAGTTGACCATACCCAGATAAAAAATTGAATTCACAGTCCCAACAGAATTAAAGTCCTTTTATTTAATTTAATTTGAAAATATACATACATTTATATTAAGAAAACTTTAAATTCAGGATTGTGTTCTGCGCTTGTAAAGGTTTGATTTTACTTATTGTATTAATTATGTTGGTCTTTGGTCTATACAAAAACATGTTTTTGTTTTATTTTTGTTGTTGCGTTTTTATTTTGTGCGTTTATTGGGATCAATAGGTATATTAAAAAAAATTAAATATATCAGCAACAAACAACAACAATTTTTTGTCAAAACCCAATAAACTTTTGTTTTTGTTACTATCTCTGGGTTGAAACATCCCCCCTGGTTAAAATGCGTCATATAAATAAATAAATTCTCATTTCGCGCTTCGAGAATTTTAAACGGAGAAAAGCGACATTAAAGACATCTGTTAGCCGTAGTCTATACTACAAAACCGAAATGTCAGATGGGAAATTAAGCCAACGTGTGTTTGATTGATATAAATCATGTGTTTTCAAAGGTTAATAATATTTAAAATGAATAAACCACTAAAATTACTGATAATTTAGCAAAATATTCGTATTAGATAAGGCCACGTACAAAATCCTACCAATACCGTACAGAGTATTAGTTACTTTTAAAATATGACTTATTTTGTTTATTTTTCATTGTTAATTTTCTACCTGAGGGTCCACATTGTGTTTGGTGATAAAATTAGCGACATTTTAAAACAAACGAAGTTTCCACCATGTAAAGCATGTAAAGTCTACGTGGAATCGTTTAAACATGTAAGATTTCTGAACGTTCAAAATTAGTTTTCTATTATTTTGTAGGGTATGGAAGTTACCGCCAAAGGAAAATTTGAAGGAGGCGATACAGCTTGGGAGGAGGCAAAGTTGGGAAGTTACGCTCAAAGCGAAGTCCGATTAGTAGAAATACAAGAGAAGGTTTGCTCTGATGTCTCTGAAGGAAAAGATCAGTGTTATTCGTTAAATGAACAACATGACGACTTAATCGAAGACTGGTGGTTTAATCTGCAAACTTCCGAACCTGATTTATATAAATTCTTATGTATAGACAGTTTAAAGCTATGCTGTCCAGATTTTCACTATGGTCCTAACTGTTCACCATGTCTAGGATATCCTGATAACATTTGTAATAATAACGGGAAGTGTAAAGGAGCAGGAACGCGGAAGGGAAATGGTAAATGTAGCTGTAATGTCGGATACGAAGGGGAAACATGCGATAACTGTTCGAATACATATTACCAATCTTATAAAGATGAATCCAAACTGTTGTGTTCAAAGTGTCATGTTTCGTGTGAGGGATCCTGTAAAGCTGGTGGGCCCACAGGTATTTATTTAATCAGGGTCCACACTCTTAATTACGAATCGGAGGGTACGACTTATTTACTTGAAAACTTTGTTTTAAATTACATCCCAATGGAATGAAATACAAGTTTTTGTGCAAAATATTCAGTTGTAAAAATGCAAATTTTAAGGTAAAATCACATCTATACACATTTTTTAAAAAGTACTAGCAAGGTGTGGAGAGATCACTATGTATAGATTGACCAAAACATTTTTCTAGACGTAATTTGACTAAAATACACACTTTAAATTCAAGTAGCTCCCTTCATTGAATTTGTAGTTTCATGTGTGAATGCCAATACACATTGCGCTTTAGGTTGTGATAAATGTGCCGTTGGATGGATAACGGATAAAGATAAAGGCTGTATCGATCTAAATGAGTGTACAAATATCAAACCACCATGTAAGCCCTCACAATTTTGCATAAATAATGAGGGCTCGTATCAATGCTTGGAATGTGATCGATCGTGCGCCGGATGCACTGGTGATGGCCCCGATATGTGTGTAAAATGTGCCAATGATTATACATTGATTAACAACGTTTGTACAGGTATGGGTCACAACTGTCATTTCTCTAGTAAACATAATGTTTCAGATTCCGAACAAGAGCAGCGGAAGCACCACGTGTTTATAACACGGTACTTAACATACTTCGGATTGTGTGTCGCCACCTGTATAATTTTCCAACGTAATGTGATGTTAGCTGCTATTATAGGTTTAGCTGTAGGTGTTTATATTTCTGTTTCGGAGTATATGTTAAATACACCTGCTGTACCAAATGTCACCGATTTTGCCAAAACTATAGGTGTTAATTAGTAAATTTTTAAATTAGGTCGCAAATTTATTTATAAACAATTGTTTTGTCCTATGTTGCTATAATGGTGTAGTAATAAATTATATGGGTTAGTTGAAATTTTTTTGCTATGATCATATATAAATTTCACTGTGTTGATATATGGACCATACAAGAAAATTCAACAGTTTTCTTTGTATATATTGTAAAAATTTTAGCCTACAATGGTGAATATTTTAACTAGGCACTGATGTTTATATAACTGAATTTATCTATAATTGTCTATTGATGAGCTCCAGCTCAGAACCTCGTGAATACCTATAAAGGGAAATGTGAACTGGACGAGCTTAATCCCTTTTATTGATGAAACCAATGATCTTCAGGGAAACAAATGGAAATATATTTCTGAAATTTGTAAGTGAGCGTTGTTGGGAAGCTGAAAGCCTAGATTTCTTTTTTTTGAAACGAGCTCCGGGGTCACGGAAAATTTAATCAGTTCTTCCTTGGGTGATGATACTGAAAACAATTCAAACCGTTTGCGATTTATTATGGACATAGACGGATGGACAGGAAGTTTAAAATCATGAACTCGCTTATAGCTCATTAATAAATAACCTAATAAATATACAATGTTAATAGCATAAAACATTTCTCGTCTCCCTCCCATTACAGCGTAATCTCTAGTTTCATCTCACTAGAGAGACATATTTCAGTGAGATTTTATTTAATAATAGACCAACGTGACAGAGGATTGTGGGCAATTTGTAAAACGCTATAATACTAATCCCTTTTGAGTATCGTTCCTTGTCGGAATGCGTTGTCTTTGTCGCACTTTAAAGAATTTTTGTGTGTAGTACTTAAATACCGTAAGATTTACACTATTTACAACAAGTTTGCTATACGAACAGCCGTTTTGACATAAATTGCACTGCAATTTTAACTTAATTACCCTAATTTCCTTGTTTGATCAGTAATGAAATAGTTTTGCGTTGTGCAACCATGTAAATTTCATAGAACATAAAATTGGTATGCCACGCGTTCCCCCAACAGTTCGCCTTACGTTTACGGGTTAGGGTAAATAGATATTAGATAGGAATGCAAATTAATTTTGACCTTAATTATTAAAAGTTGTGGGAGATTTGGCAAAATGGCAACAAAAAAGAAGTGATGACAAATATGTGGCGCATGCGTATATCTCAGTATCTGACAGCTATTGGTGATTTACAGATCTGTAGTGATCAGTGACCTGAAGGTTGTAAAGTAGGAGCAGAACGGGTTGGTGGTGGCGGTTTGTACTCGGCCATTGTGCAGGTAGTGAAGTGATAAACGTTTTCGTAAAAATATCGTTCCACATTACCACATCTGAATGGTAATTTATAGGACATTGATAAAATGTCGTCTCCAAGTGCTGGGAAACGACGTATGGACACAGATGTCATAAAATTGTATCCTTCCTTTGTGTAGTAAATGTAAACAATAACAGAATGCTGTGTATCAGCTGATCCAAGATTTTTCCATCACCTCTCTCATTTCGGATTGTCATTCGAAATTATTCTTATATCACTAATTTGCACAACAATTTGTTAACAATTTATTATGCATTGTGAAATTCTCCTTAATTATTTTTTACAGAATTGAAAGTAAGCATGAGGTCACAATTTTGGGTGGCCTAAACGAATTTTGTGTGAAATTCTATGGACCTCGAGGAAGTAAGTTACCATTATATGTAATTCGGAAACTTTTTTATTATTGTATTGTACTTATCAAGTTTAGGATGGCCTATAGCTCTAGCCGAATATTTATTTTCAATATCTTTGTGCGCAAGATAAGGATTTTTACCTTTTGAAGTATTTTAAGAACAATGCGTTTGTTATTTTGGAACCTTGAGGTGAGAGAAGAATTTATTGAACTATAAATAATTTGGATTTGAAATCCAAGAGTCATTATTAACCACATTGGTAATTAACCAGGATATGAATTACATTACATCTTTATGATTCATGTTTTATGTCTGTTTTTTTTTGCTGGAGAGATTGGTGTTATCAGCTATTCTCAACTTTAAATATTTAAAAAAATATGTCTTGTGCTAATGAAAAGTGAAATAATTCGCTATACAATCCAAGTTTTCACTTCAAAATGTAGAACATTCACGAAAATGCAGAAAATTCCATGGTGCGGATTTGATACCTGAGTAATGAACTAGTCCACATATACCTGTTAACGATCACATAACCTCCTGAAATCAGCTCGTATCATTGTCCAATTTTGCCAAAACACTGCTCGTATACCACGATTGTCAGTAACAGGCTGTAATTGTTTTTCTGCATATGTTGATTTTCTTTTTATTTTTATTTTTTATTCACAAGGGGAAACCAACTAGGACAACATTTACATCAAAGACCCATTCTGTTTAACCCCCCTTGTTATGTTGGAAGTCTATGAGACTGATTCGCTACCAGTCTAGCATTTCAGGCTGCTTGACATGCACTAAAATGTTGTTAGGGGTGAAACAGTCGAGCTGAGTAGGTTTATTCATATACTTTTATTGTTGTAACTAAAGCAGCTAAATGCATTGTGTTCATGAATGCCGGTGGTTTCATCAAAATAGTATGATCTCTAGTTTCATGAATGCAAGGCTGGAGAGTAGTTATTTTTTGTTTTTTTCGCTGGCGTTGTTTTTGTTATTTATGAGCTGTAACCTCGGCTGCAACTGTATAAGCGGGTATAAGGTTGCAAGATTTGAGTTTCCTTTATAATTTTGTTTTCACAATAATACAACGGAATATAACTAGGTTCTTGGGTATGCTGCCATATCACATTTTATAAACAAAGTTTAAAAAATTTCCAGCTCCCAAGTTAGGGTGTCGAAAAGTTCAATTTTGGTGAAATTTAGTCTTGTGAAAATAGCAATTCCAAACAGTTTATGAAAATTTGAAAATAAAATTTCCAAAAACTAAATTTAGGCTCATGGAATACTTTGCTGTTCAATACAGTACTCAGGAGACCAGTGTGAAAAGAGCGGCCAACACTAGCGACCAAAATTTCCGAATATACCCAAAGCGAAAATAGACCTTGCCCCGCAATTTTGTTTTGCTTTTATTCATTTTCCACTAAATACTGAAACAATTCTACTTACTGGTTAATGGTAATTCGAAGTAAATAATAAATAATGTGCCGTTTTCGAGATAAGACAAGGGGGCGGGTATTTCAACCACTTGAACGGCAATGCACTTGGGTATTTTGTTGATTATTTATTTTCGAATTACCATTAACCATCCCCTAAAATTTGACCGTGATAGTATGTGCCGTTTTGGAGAGGGTGGCTTCTTCAACCCCCATTGACTCGTATTTCTGTTTGATTGGAGGGTTTTCTATTTAATTGTAAGTAGAATTGTTTCAGTATTTAGTGGAAAATGAATTAAAGCAAAGAACATTGCATGGCAAGGTCTACTTTCGCTTCGGGTATATTCAGAAATTTTGGCCGCTCTTTTCACACTGATACTGAGGAGTGAGTTTGGTTGGTATAGCAGAAACCTCCTCAACTTAGAAAGTAAAAACATTATACTAGGCGACCTCATCTATCGACTGCATTACAATTACTCTGGAGGGACGTAAATAAATGAAACTACGTTTAGTCTTGGCTATTTATTGACTCCTCGGGCTGCGCTGTTCGAATTGCGCCTGCTTACTAAGAATTGATATGCGGACAACTGTTCTTCCCTGGCTCATTGGATCTTAGGTATATAATTGGTGTCAGTCAATATGATACTCTTAGAATAAGCAAGTAGTGAATTGTGAATTGGTATTTTAATTCCACTTTAGTAACACATTTTGTAATTTGTCATTATAAAATGCAATGGTTGATATGAAAACTGAATTTGACAAATTTGCAGCTCCTTATGAAGGAGGAGTGTGGAAAGTACGGGTCCATTTACCGGAACACTATCCATTTAAATCGCCTAGTATTGGGTTTATGAATAGAGTATATCACCCTAACATAGATGAAATATCAGGAACCGTTTGTCTAGATGTAATTAATCAAGCTTGGACTGCTTTATATGGTGAGTATGATTTGTATATACTGTAGAAACGTTTAATCGTAACCGTTGCAGACTTATCAAATATATTTGAATCTTTTTTACCACAATTGTTAACCTACCCTAATCCCATCGACCCATTGAATGGTGACGCTGCAGCAATGTATCTTCACAAACCTGAAGAATACAAGAAAAAAGTATCTGGTAAGCTTCTTGTACTTTTTGTTTAATCTATCAAGCTTATACGCCGATATTAATGCGCAGTTGATAGAAATTATTTACATAGTTCTTAAATCTTGAAACCTTTTTTTTTTTTATTATTAAATACATGTAAGTTATAATATAATTAATGATTTATATTCTGTATAATAACCATTACAAAATCTGGAAATTAAAAATTATTGTTTCTACTAGTAGACACTAGAAGTTTGCCGAGCTTTTAAACTCGAAACCAATTGCAGCAATTTGTTTTGCACACTTTATTTTGGGTATTATCGTTACTGTTTTTTTTTCGAGCTTGATTATTACACACTTGTGGTAGTTTTTTTCATTATTGCTAAAAGGGGCACTTACCTGAACTCTAAGGCGATTATAATATAATCTCTTCACTTCAGAAAAAATGTTGTATTCCCAAACGGGCGTAAATCTGTTCTGTGAAAATTGTTACATCATCACATCAAATAAAATACTGTAGTTTTCCCCTGCCGCAAATTGCAAAACAGAACAATTTAAGACACAGTACTCAACTCTCATAATACTAGTAATAATATAATGCACAATTTACTATTCCACACCACTGGACCACTTTGTATACAAGATCATTTATTTATAATCGTGAAATTAGTTAATTTATTTACTGATCAGTTTAAGATCAATAAGTCCAAATTTAAACTTAAACAATACCTTTTGAATTTGCAGCGTGTGAATCACTACCTCGCTACACTTGAAATCTAACTTTCATTCCTGTATCTTTCAGCTAGTTTTTTGTCGTTAAGATATTAATATATATTTTTTTCTTAGTTATGCTAGTAACACGAACTTTGTAAATTCCAGAATATGTACGTAAATACGCCACCGAAGAGGCTTTGAGAGGTCAGGAACATAATTTAAGTTCAGACAGTGAATCGAGCATGTCTGACTTTTCAGAAAATGAAGCGGAGGATATGGAGTTATAACGTAGGTTTTCTTATAACTCATTACAATCGCTCAACTCGTTTATTAATATTTGTGTTGTCTTATACTTAGGTTTTTACCCATAAAATTGTGATGTGCTTAATGTTTTTTTTCCATTTTTTTTTTGTTGATTTTTTTTGAGTTGGGAGTTCTAATGACTAATTATTGTATATAACAAACAACGATACACGTATTGTTTTAATTGTATCTGATTCAGTTGATGTTTGGAATCCTCCAATCATTTAATGTTCACTTGTGTGTTTTAACAAGTATTCTTTTAAAGAATTAGCGACTAATTTTTTTTAAAATTTAATAACAATTGTACAGTTTTTATTCCTGTATATAGAATTTACTTATTTTTACACACGAGTACACTTTGCTATGATAGTTTGGATAGAGCTGTGAAAATTTAGAGTATTTAGTTAATGCGTATGATAAAAACAAATGTGGCATAATATTTATAAAGCTGAAAATGGTGTGTCCCAGACACCTCACTTTCTAAAAATTAAACGTAAGCAATAAATTTGTTTCTAAGTTTGGGATATTTAGTTGGTTTATGATGTCATTATAATGCATTCACTATCAGGTATAATACAATCACTATTTATCTATATGGCGATTTCGTTTGATTTTAATTTATAATCGAGTATTAAATTCAATCATATTATTACCATGAGCAAACCATGGTTGTTTTTTTTAATCGAACCGCTTATATTCAGACCATACTGTGGGCACTGAATAGGAGTTGTATAGCGTTTAATGTACCTTTCAGTGCCCAGATGTAGTCTCAAATATTAACTATATTAATATATTATCGATGACTAAAATATATATTATATATTACTTTAGAGTAATTAATAGTGCAATAGCATCACATAATTTAGTAAGTACTCTGACCGAATTAATTCTTATTTAATGATTTACAAATCGGGTATAATGAGAGGGGAGGAAAGGGGAATATATTAAAGTCTAACTACATATCACTTTTAAATAATATAAAGAGAAATTAATCATTGCCCTCGCAAATTAACACAGGGGATCAAGTTTTTAATTATGTTAAAACCTCCTTACTCCCCATCCTCCCTGCATTAATTTCTCTAGTGACTAAAGATAACAAATTGAAGTTTATTATTTATTATAATTTAATGCGAGTAAATTATTTGACAGTTTCTTTTCTTACTATCCTTTAGTTATCATTTTTGTTTATAAAAAAATCACAGGAAAAGAAATTGCGCTACCTTCGTATTTAAGGAATTGTATTGTAATGCAAAGATTACCAACATATTTTTATAAATATTAATCGTTATTAAAAACAATGTATTAATATTTTAATTTTATTTAAGGCTGTAAATATACGCGAATTTTATTTATTTGCTTGTTTTTCTTTATTATCATTTAGTTTGTATTGTTTATCATTGCAAATCGAAGTTCACAATTGAGCCCAATTAAATTGACCACATTTTTTGTTGGTCATCTACCAAATTCAAACAATTATTTTAGATCATGTAATTGCATCTAAAACTATGAACTACAAATTAATTAGTTATTTTCTAAGGTAATTAAACATGCTTTGGGGAAACAAGGGCGGTGAATAATTTAAGAATGATAACGATAGAAACTGTTCACTTCTTGATCTGTTTTTAGGTGATCTGCAACTGCATCTTTATACCACATTTCATTTTGATAATTTATTAGAGATCAAAATTAATAAAAATATAGCAAAAGTGGCAATGTTGGGTCAAATCTGAGGCATACAAATTTCAAAATTAGAAAGATGACCGGCTGCATCCCGCTGGATATGGATGACGAAGGAGACACTGTGTTTCGCTTTCCTCCCTTCCCTTAAATTAGGTATTTTTTTACTATCTTGTAGAAACATCCAAAAATTTTAACCTAAGAAGACGTACCATTCTAAATCCTACTTTACTTAGCCATTACAAATGTATGAAACTGCCAATGTCGTTTCCCCATTTTGTAGGATGTGAAAATTCATTGTTAATATTAAACGTAAATTGTATTATGTAAATTCATTTAGTTCATATATTGAGTGTGTTTTTAATGTTTTTGTAAAGGATAGGTGCATTTAGGTTCGAGTATTAAAATATGATCTTTATGTAAAACAGAATATAAAAATGTATAATTTCTGTTTGTTATAACACAGAGAAAATTATTTTTATATAAGCCGATATTCCATTAATTTCACTGTATTATAACCCATAGTGATAAGACAAACTAAGTGTATAATTATTCACTGTTTTTAATAAGATAGCTATATAAAAAGCTTTTCCTCGATTTGTATACAGTTTGTGTTATTGCCTAGTTAAATATGTTTTTATTTATGTGTCTCGTGTTAGCACTCTTAGAATATAATTTTATGAATTCCTGGTTTACTGTGCATATAATTTTTTGGTGGTGTAGCTATGATGAAATGAAAGAAATTAACTTCTGGAGGTTCCTCAAATACTAGTTCTTTATATAATATATTTTTAAAAAACGTAATATAGATATATATTTTGCAAGTGTTTTAAAGGAGACACTTTAGATTTCGATAACTCGTAACATTTCAATGCTGTGATTTGATGATCCTCCAAGGCATGGCTGTGTTTACATACTTATTTAACATATTTGAGGGATCCACCATTGAAGTCCTGCCTTCTCGCTGCCAATTTTAAGCTGCGTCACTGAAATGCTTTTATATTACAAAATAATTTATAAATTACGCTGTAATACAAATCACGTCGTCCATATATATGTTGAACTCCTATTTGTAAATTTTACTAATCATTTTGTTGTGAGTAGGGGGTGTGGTAGTAGTATTTAACAATAAATAATATCATTTTCTAGTGTTCTTAACCGCCAGGTACATCACCAAGTTCACATTACAGCTTATTCGTCAGATGGTAGGCACCTACGCTTCGTCTAGGTACCGATATGGGTTGTAAAATATATGTTCGTCAAAGGACACCTTTATTAATAAATGTAGGCACGTTAAGGCATAATTATGTTTACTTCTTTTAATAATGTGCATTGAAAGTATGTACATACAAAATATGAACTAAATATGGATGTAGAAAAGACCTCCCACCAGCCGGACCAAAGTTTTTCTCCCATTTGAAGGGGCAATTTTCCCTCAATGGCCTAATCTAGTGGATCGACTTCATTAATGACGCTCTCTCGTAGGAAACTATGATTTCAAATCTCCATATAATCTAAAAAAGAACAGACTGGTTTTCAGAACTATGAGTATGATGTGTTGCCTACCTACCAGCCAAAATAATATTGTGCCATTGATTCAATGATTGTGCTTTCCCAGTTTCCCTTTTATACTCTACGTCTTCGATTATGCGAACCATATGGAGTGAGTCTCATTTGTCTTGATACGGTTCAGGAAAAGAAGAGCTGCCTTCACATCCGTAGTCTATATTCAAAGCTCTATGCACAAACCCAACAAATGTTGCAGCATTTCAATGAATCTAAATTCAATGATAATATGAGGAATTTTATGCAACATTTTGGCATAATATATTGGTTAAACAAAAAAGCATAATGATACTTTAACAACAAATAATAATGATTTGTGATCTCTTGTTGCAAGCTTACCGAAATCACAAGCGTTGATAGGCATTCGTACTCCATCATTAGAGTTGCTTTCGAAGCTCTACATAGATGTTAGTTTGAGTCTGTTGTTTGCTCCTCTACTTATGGAAAATGGTGTTGATTATCTCCCACTGGAAATTGGTATTCCACTAACTGCTGTTTGCGGAGACTTGGTTGAGGATTCTGTTGCCAACAAAAAAACGAAAATGACGATTTTCAACATGATGACCATTATCCTATAAGCATTTTATTTCCTACAAAAAGGAGCGAAGAGGTGCGTCTCCAGAAAGAGATAATTACAAACGCCAATTGGGAAGGAGCTGAACAGAACGCCGAACTCAACAAACCGTCAGGGCTTAAACTGCCAAGATGATTGAGGTAAAGGAGGAAATCGTTGTCAGGATCATGCTGAGAAACTTGTAGGCACAAAACAGCTGTAAAAGCATTTATAAGCGATTTTTTACTGGATTTTTTACCTAAAACAACACTCAAGGTTTTAAATAGTCTGCCGTACCATCCCTTGGTCTAAAATAGGCTGAAAGGCTATCCGCAACCGAAATTAGAACTAAAACTAGGCTGACACGCCTCTATGAGCAATGCAACGTATTTGACTGCAATGTTAAGATCTAATTTTACTTCGATTCTCCTTTACTCTTGTTTTTCCTTTATATACTTTCTCATTTTGGCCTTCCGATCGGCATGTTCAAGACCATAATTTTTCCCAATGACCACACAGGACCTACCAACGACACCGGCAGTTCAATTTCAATCCCAGTTCCATAATTTAAACCTCTAGAGATTGATATAATGCTGTACATGTATTTTTGTCTCCCACCTCCTGCCGCGCAGTAGGTTTGGTACAACCAGTATGTAGGTTTGAGACCATTTTGCCTCTGAGTACCTACACTCTCTCTACACTATTTTTAGTCAATGGTTCTAGCACTAAGGTTCTAGGTAGTGTTGAATCCCGTCTGGTTATACAGACCTGATCTCCTATAGTAACGACTTACCCATTCTGATAGTGTGTCTGGTTCTAACATTATAGGTGATGCCATTGTTTTTAAACAATGATGATACCTAATTATGTCATGTGCCAGGTTTTAACGTAATACATCACTATTTGTGGCAGCTTATCTCCTATATAAAATTTTGAAATAAAATAGCAAAGGAGTCTGTCAAATCTTAATCCAAAATTAATGCCATAAGTTAAAACGACACCAAAGGTCTTTAGCTTCGTAGTCTTATAGGTACTTACATTTCATCAGTAGGTAGTTTTTCACACTGTTTAGGGTCATCCAATAGGTATGTCTCTTCTAGGTGTACCAAATTGTAATTATCACTATTGTATTAACTGCATCGGAACTTAAGAAAAGTAATGCTCGTTTAGATGTTAAAAATATAAACAGCTAATTAGCATTCCATAATTAATCTTTCTATTATATCAAATTAACCATGATAATGAATTAGCACCGTGATTGTAAATAACCGCTAGTTTGATTAGATTTGAGTTCATTGTTGGTTCTAAATGAGAGTATATTTTGTTTTTATACATCAAATCTTCCACATTATTTTTGATGTACCTAAACGAGAAAAATTTCAAAAGATCCTGTTTCGGGGGTAAGTAGAGTAGAATACAAATTTAAGTGTATATTTATCCATATTGTCCGAAAGCTACCGCACTAATTTATGCGTTGCGTGTCTGTACCTAAAGGACAAATAGTAACTAAAGTGTAGATTTAATTTCCCAAAAATAAATATTATTTCAATGCAATTTTAAATTTATTTATTTATTATTTATTTGTCATTGCCATTATGTTCGTCGAAAGTGACTAAGCTGAGGGCTGAGGCAGATCAGTGTCATGTGATGCCGTGGTAGGACGGACAGACATTAGATAGTCCATAGGGTGTATCAAGTTAAACTAATCTCGTGGATGGTGGGCAGTGGGCTTCTTTTAGGTCTAGTTGTGTGGAGCCGCGTTTGGCCCATTTAAATGCTAACTTTCTTCTACAATCTATGAGAAATTTGGATAAAAGGTGATGGGCTTAGATCATAATGATCTAAGGTGATGGGTTGGTAAAGAAATCCGATACAATTGAATACCAAAAGATCCTCGAAATCCTCACGCATCTACTATGGCGAGCTGAAAATCAATAGCGATCCTTAAGAACATATGTACCATATTTCAAAGCGATCGGACGTTTCTAAACAAAGATCGTGCAGACGGACAGACAGCAATGGAAACTTATAATCAATCTCGTAGTGAAACATTTCTTTTTTGCGAATTTTTTTTGAGACGCAACAGGACAGCTTCCCTATAAAAGTGCCTAAAAATTGTGACCCTATTTATAGCAAATTAGGCGTTTATGTAATAATTGTTAAAAACAATTTCAAACTTCCTGCTTTCCGTTTACGGCACGTGCTCATAGAGGGCGAGATTGTGGCGATACCGTCTCTATACCTACCTGCTCTCTATTTTGACTGATGTTTATCAGTTTTTGTTTATATTTTTGCAGTTTTGAAGATATTTTGTAATGTTACTAATATTAGCTTCAAATGAATATCTGGCTAAATTACCTCATCTTAGTGCGACATTTACGTAGTAAATAGACACTATTTTGTAAGTAGATCAATTTGTTGTTCTAACCTATTTTTTTATTTTCAAATTTGCCTTAATTAAAGGGCTTTTTCGGTGTCTTTTATCAATGTTTGACGTGTCTACCTCATAATTTATGTCATATTGTTGTTGTATCTGGTAAATATTTACTCTAGTTACAATATTTGTCTTTCAGTGTTTGGTGAATGGTACATTTAAGAAGTCTAAATAACAAATAGGAATAATGGTTGAAATTGGTTCTTCGAGTCTTCTGCATCTTGGGGACATTGTTTCCTTGTACGCAGAAGGAAATGTTTGCGGTTTCTTAAGCACTTTAGGGTAAGTTTGATCTACTTTTATCGCAAACTTTTAAGTGTCTGGAGTTTATTTCTTAATAGCAATGATGCGTGATTATAATGAAGTGGCACTTAATATTAATGAATTAAGGAGCCACTTTAGTAATAAGTGTTGCCTATTATTTTTAAGTATGCATAAAGGAAAGTGTGGCCCAAATTCTAACATTGCGATCATTTAATAATTTATTATAGTTTGCCAAAGACTATTGATAGGATTTAGATTTATGTTATTAATAGAGCTATGCCTTGATCTATTTTTGTAAATCTCATCACTTGTTACAATTTGCATTTGTGTAGGTGCTGGCGATATATGACAGCTGCATCAGAATAAGCCAGCCAGCGTGGACGTTTCGTGTGTGTACTATTGCGGTTTAAAATTACATAGGGCTGGTCATAATCCATCACTTCAAAGGGAACTTGGAAGGTTATATGCGAGGTTGTGTATATATATTTCTACGCACATTCACTTGTTTCACCATTGCTGTGGATTCTAATATCAAATTTTTCTAGGTCATTTTATGTGTTAATTTGTTCACATCACCTTCTAACTTGAAATCGTGAATTGTATAGCAAGTATTTTCTCAGGAGGAAAAGGACAATCAATGATATAAGTAATATCACTCAACTCACCTGCGGTTTAGGCGACCCACATAACACAAGCTTGACGTATATTCTTCATTCAATATGTGTGCAGTTTCTTTAGAAATAAATATCTTTTTCTTGTATCTCATTAGCAACTGGAATTTGCAATTGCACTAGTTTCATTGAGAAAATGATCAAATTGCCTTTATCGTCATGATAATATGATTTTTCTGCTATGGGATCAAGACACCCTAAAATTATTTATATGTATATGGATCTTATTTGATTAGATCTGATTTTTTGTCTTGGTTATGCACCCCCATACACTGACGCATTCCACTATTATCTAATACATTCTTCCAATGCCTAGTGCAATTAGTTAAGGATACTTTTTAAATATTTTTTGTTTTTGTTTGTTTTTCTGAAAGCAGTAATAAACATTTCTTTATTTTATTGATTCAGGATTTCTTGCACATTTGTAGATTAAATGCTCATCAACAACAACTCATCATGGATTGCGTATTTAGCATTGTTTTAAACCTTATGAGAGAAGTCTCAGATCCCCCGTATAGGGAACTCCAGAGTAATGATGCACTCGAATGCACCATAGCTAATTCACTTACCACAGTCACTGTTATCTACTAAATTCATACAGGAAATTCTGGCAATGCTTTTATCACTCAAAATCTGGATTGTTTTAGATCTTTGAAAATGTATTCTCAAATTCAAATTTTCGGATCCTTGGTTTATTGGGAACAAGTTTGTTCTGGTTCTCTCCACCTACCAAATTTTAATTTCGTATATATCCACTTACAATTTACACTAAATTTCAATGTGTACAGTGCGGTTCCTTTGCCGATTCCCAGTTTTTATGTTGCTTGCTTTGGTGACCTGATACTACTCATTGTACTTACCTGGTGTTAAGTAGGGGTAGGCGAAGGAGTCCAAATGCTTTTGAAATTGTCCATAGACTCCTGGTCGTAAAAAGAATGCAGCTTAGTATGGGCAGGGGTAAGATTCTCCCCCACAACCATAGCATAATCCCTCAATCCTAAATCTTAAACATGGGGTTATGATGATGTATAAAATAATAGATTTATCTTGGTATGTAAGAACTCAGTTACATGTGTATTGGACCAAAACAAATATGCAAAATATACATTTTCTTGCATCATTGAAAGATCTTACTATCAAAATCATTTTATGCTGAGCAAGGCCAAGGAAGAAGTCTTTCTCTGTCATATGTGATTTTTAGATAAGTTTTGATTAATTTCAGCTTACAGAAACTGTCGGCGCTCGCTGAAGAGTAGTAAGATTCATTGAAGGTAAGTTTTGATTAATTTCAGCTTAACAAAAAAAAACGGGCCGGCCGTGTCGGTGCACACAGCTGTCAGTTTTAACGTGAAATATCTGTGCTTTATCAATAGGAATTATAGGAATTAAGTTCGCACTAGGTTCAATTGCTGCCACCTGCGGCATCTTGGTTAGCGTTGAGTTTTAGGGGAGTCTCCATCCTGGCGAGACTTGATCTTGAATAAAGACCTCATTTGAATATACAAACATTAGAACACGAGCCAGAACATGCACGAGTTAATACACTCTGACTATAATAATAATAATAATAATATATCACAACCCACTCGTACTCAACCCAAACGCAACAACCTTAACAGCACTACAGGCTCACAAAATACTGTAATGTCTCCACCAATAACCCATGCAACAACAGAAATACTTCAAGAACAAAGAAACACCATAAATACAAGTAACGCAACATGCACTACAAAGACAGGTCCATCCAATAAAGTTACACGCCCTAGCACATTTAAAAAACACAAAACTCCTTCTTCACAGAAACACACCACATTATCACAACCCACTCGTATTCAACCGAAACGCAAAACCTTAACAGAACTACATGCTCACAACATACTGTAATATCTCCACCAAAAACCCAAGCAACCTCACAAATACAACCTCAAGAACAAAGAAACACCATAAATACAAGTAACGCAACATGCACCACAAAGACAGGTCCACCCAATAAAGTTACACGCCCCAGCACAGTTAAAAAACACAAAACTCCTTCTTCACAGAAACATACCATCACAACCCACTCGTATTCAACCCAAACGCAAAGCCAAAGAAACACTTACACAATAAAATCCATTTATTAAAATTACAGGAATTATTATAATGATTCTGTTTTGTTTTCCTCTTTTTTGATAGCGTTGGCTATTGTGCCCATCAATACGTATGTTGGTAAGTATGAATTACATACTATCCCTAGATTGCCAATGCACGTTTTTTTTTTTTTTTTTAAAGGACATAACACTGCACCAGACACAGATACTAATCGTTACTTGATTTTAATCCGTGCGATTAGTTAACCAGGCTAGACCTGAGTTCTCACAAGAAACACCGACAATAATAACGTCTTTATTAGATGACGATCTAAAGGGCGAAGTTCACCTAGGGGCAACATCGCCACCAAGTGTTCTTCATTCTATACATAATCAAGAGTGCCAAAGTGGTGACATTACATTTGATATGGTACTGGCTAGGCCTAGGCCCTTCATCCAATTTGGTTAGTAAATGGCCAAGATGACAAGTTAAAAAAGTAATCGTAAACGATTTTACAAAAAGCGCATTTTGACATTAACAGTCTTTGTCCGAAAAAATTAGTTACTCCAGCCAAATTCGTTTTCAGCCATTGAACCAAAAAAATTCACAAATAAAAAAGTTAACGTATAGAATTTATAAGCACAACTCAATACCGAACGATCCTCGAGATCTTCACGCATCCATCATTTTTACAACACACCTTAAGGGGTTGATTTTTGTTCCACCAGATCAACATAGCTTGTAATACAAATTTTTTAATTTAGTATTAGTTTTACTGTCATTTGAAGTGCCTATACACACAACATTTCATTTAAATGTCTCAACAAATAAAAAAATTGGATTGCGCATGCGCAAAACAAATTTTTGATTCGGTATTAGTTTTACTTTTACGATTACTTAATTTGAACTACCTTGTCCGTTCTACACTTTCGTAATTAGCAGAATAACCTTTCCTAAATGCATATTGCATTACACTGAAAATGGATAGTGTTTCAATGTTTGTTTTAAAAGTTACCTACAACGTTAGAATAAAACAATATGTTAGCTTTAAAGATATATATTATACATAGTCAGAGTAGTATTTAGGTACATTTTTGTAAGCTCTGGTTTTAGGCAATTTTCTTGAAATTCATCGCCAGTTTTGTTTCAGTTTAGTTGATGATAGATGCGTTGTTTGTCCGGAAGCAGGAGATTTGAATAATCCGCCTAAGAAATTTCGAGGTAAGGCTACTCTGACCAACTTATTTCTATTATATGGCGCCCTTTTCAGATTGCCAATTTAAAATATGCCCTATGAACCGGTATTCCGCTCAAAAACAGTTTTGGAAAGCTGCAAAACAAAGTATGGGTTCAAATACAGATACAAACTTATTAAAACGTTTACACGTAAGTGTTTGTTAGCGCTTTTTCTTTATCACTAAATCAGTTTTTGGTGTTAAGCACGCGGCGGAAATAGAAAAGAAACAGAACGAAGGTGAAAATAAGAAACTACTGGGATCAAATGTGCAATATGGAAGTGTTGTTCAGGTGGGTTTCTGCAAATTGAAATACGGAGACATTACCATAAACCGAACACGTTTCCACGACAGAAATACCAACTGAAAACTCGTTTGGTTTAGTTCATTTTTTTGACGTGACTACTTCTTATGGCTCGGTATGCACTGTAGGTTTTTGCACGGGAGTAAAATCATCTCATCGGTCACGCGACTAATTAGTTTAATTTGCCGCAAAAAGAAGGAAACGAGAAGTGTGAGAGAGAAAGAAGTAGTCACTCATCAAGTAGTGCTACTTTCGAATTGTTTGTGTTTTATTTCAACGTCTGATTTACGTCATTGTAGCTTCTACACTTAAAGTCAAACAAGTACTTAACGGTAAATAAACGTTTGCCGGCTTTGTTGGAGAAAAATGCAATGAGAGTATATTTAGATGGAAATGGAAACGAAGGTTCCTGGTTTTACATAATGCCATTTTATAAATTGCGGTCCACCGGTGATAATATCGTCTTGGGAGATAAGGTCATACTAAATCCGGTTAATGCCGGACAGCAGGTTTTGCACGTTGCTGCAAATCACGAACTTCTTGATAATCCCGGTTGTAAAGAGGTAAATGTTGTGAACGGTAGTACGTCCTGGAAAGTGACGTTATTTATGGAACATCGTGAGAATGCGGAAGATGTACTGAAGGGTGGGGATGTGGTACGATTGTTTCACGCCGAGCAAGAGAAGTTTTTAACAATGGACGAATATAAGAAAACCCATCACGTTTTTTTGCGCACGACTGGGAGAACCAGCGCAACTGCGGCGACCAGCAGTAAAGCGTTGTGGGAAATAGAAGTTGTCCAACACGATCCGTGCCGAGGTGGTGCGGGACATTGGAATTCGATATTCCGTTTTAAACATCTCGCAACCGGACGCTATCTAGCAGCAGATGTAGATTCTGATCAGACGATGGATCAAATGCGTGCCAAGCTTAGGATCGAAGGATCAGGAGATACAAATATGTATCACTTAGTGCCTGTCGCTTATTCTAACGAAATTGCTTCTTTGTTTGAACTGGATCCTACCACTTTGACCAGAGCCGATTCCTATGTTCCTCAATCTAGTTACGTACGTTTACATCATTTATTTACTAATTCCTGGGTACATTCCACATCGATTCCTATTGATAAAGACGAAGACAAACCTGTTATGTCCAAAGTTGGTTGTGCGCCAATCAAAGAAGACAAAGAAGCCTTTGCCATTATATCTGTGTCGCCAGTGGAAGTTAGGGACTTAGATTTCGCAAATGACGCTTGTAAGGTTCTTTCTGCATTATCATCAACATTAGAACGCGGTACTATATCTCACAACGAAAGAAGGTAAAATGAGCCATATTGAACTCCAATAACTGCCTTATTATAGAGCAGTCACAACCCTCCTGCAGGATATAGTTTATTTTGTTGCCGAATTAGAGAACGAGCAAAATAAGACGGAAGCCCTAGAACTTGTAGTTACTAATCCAAATCGTGATCGTCAAAAATTACTTAGGGAGCAAGCTATTTTGAAGCAACTTTTTCGAATATTGCAGGTAAGTTCTTACCAACATTGTATCTTTTTTCTTACTCTATGTGTATCCAAAATTTATGAAATTCTAGCACCTTTCAGTTGAGTTAGTTAATTTCAAGTTCAAATTTCTTCTTTCTCTCTCTATATACAATGATCACATTTGCAAAAGAAAGCCCTTACCTACATTTTTGAAGTACCAACGACTCGGCTCAACACAAACCGCTTTTAAGGTGGTAGGTATATCATTTTTTAAATTGGAGACTGTAGTCAAGGGCGTTATGGTAATTATCAAGAATCCTTAGCATTGAGCTAATGGTATCTTAAAAAAGGTTGGCACAATTCTACACTGTAACCATGTGGGTTTTTATCTGCACTCCATTACATGCCATCAATTTCGTGAAATTGGTTCAAAAATGTACACTATATGAGGGTTAATAATGCATCTCATTTCTGCTACTTAAGGCTCCTCTGTAGTCAATGCGCCATATTGGAAAAATAGCTAAACTTTCTTATGAAATGCTGCTTTTGTAGTTGAAGTCTAACAAATTGTCGATAGTGGATATTCTTTGCAATGATGAAAAGAACGGCGGTACTTAAAAAAATTGAAATATCGGTCTTAGTTTTTTATGAAGATCGATGAATAGAAAAATCGTTTTTTGTAGATAACAGCCGTTGTAATGAGGGTAGAAAAACGTACAGCACCAATTTGGAAATCCGACAGTATTTCTTACGGCGGTACTTAAAGATATTATTTCCATCTATTATGATAAGGCATATATTTAAAAAAATATGTTTCGCGATCTTCAGAAAAAAATCAAAACGCTAACGTAAGGATAGGCAACTCAAATTGCACTTATAACGCCTGAGGCGACAACTCATTACTTGAAAGGGAAAACAAAAGAAACTACCTGGCATTACCCTACACATTGTTATGCCGTTCCTAATGATATGGATTAGATAAATTACTATTTATTATTTATTTATTTGAATGCTGTTGATTTGTAAATCATAATGACACGTATTCCCAAGACGAAAAATGGATATCCTATTATAGGTACATTGGAAATAATTTTTTATTTCTAAAACCTTTTGCATCCCATCAGGATGCTTCAAGAAACAAAAAAAATCCTATAATGAGGTACGTACAATACTAGGTACTTCACATATTATATCATAAGTAGTGCTGAATATGAACTCTTGTTTTATAACAATGCTTTCAAACTACCAGAAGCGTAGCATTTTATTTCCCATCTAAAATTATCAGTTTCCTCAGATAATCCAGTATGCGGAGCAGTCAGAAGGGCCGATTCCTGAAAAATGTGGTGTAAACGATTTTAACGTTTTAAATGGTCCATTTGGGTCCAAATAACATGTATTTGAAGAGTGCACACCAATTTTTTTCCGGCACAACTTTTGGCAGCCAAAAAACCTCAAAACGTTCGAACTTTTTTCAATTTTTCGCTTAAAACTCGAAAACGGTCCATATTTTATGAATAACACTTCTTTAGTAAATTAAAGAAAACAAAATTCTGCGTCGATAAAAAAACAAACAAAATCGGTCCAATAGAAAAATTTTTACAAGCGATCAAAAAACGCCCATTTTTTCCAACTTTTCTAAAGAACTGAGTTAACCTTTTTTTAATGCGTTGTGGCTCCTAAAGGAACGATAAAATCCACTACCCCCCCTCCCTAAAGATTGTAGAACATCAATCAGAGAGTTCAAAAAGTACCAACAATTTAAAATTGGACCAATTTTTGAAATTCGTTGGGAAAAATGGGCGTTTTTTGATCGCTTGTAAAAATTTTTCTATTGGACCGATTTTGTTTGTTTTTTTATTGGCGCATAATTTTGTTTTCTTTAATTTTCTAAAGAAGTGTTATTCATAAAATATGGACCGTTTTCGGGTTTTAAGCGAAAAACTAAAAAAATGCCCAAAATTTTGAGGTTTTTTGGCTGCCAAAAGTTGGGCCGGAAAAAATGTGTGCGTACTCTTCAAATACATGTTATTTGGACCCAAATGGACCATTTAAAACAATAAAATCTTTTACACCACCTTTTGCAGGTCAAAATTATCTGCATACTGGACTAAGAGTAAGTCTTCGTGAAAATTATCTATTTCGAGAAATGCGACCAAAAGCAAAAGATGCACATGCCCTTTGCTTTCCATAAAGTTGCGCCCAATAGATAACAAATGACACATAGGCATTTTTTCACTTATTAGCGGAACATAAACATACGAAACGTCGTGGTATGTTATATAAAAGAAACGCTACCGATATAAATACAATTCCCCTTTTTAGTTAAATTCCTAAGCGGGATACGATAACTAATGGCCGACACTGACAATTTTATTTAAAACAAAGTGTCACTGTTCTGCTCATGTTAATGAAAATGTTGGATATAAAAAAATTCTTGCACTTTTAAAAAAATTCGACTATTTATCTTTCCGTTTGAGAATACCTTTTGATGGAGTCCCACAAACTTCACATCAACTTGGCGAATTTTTTTCAAATTTCCAATACTATGTAGCGACAGAAACCGGTAAATGTTTTACTACTACCTACTTCTTTTTTCAATATGGACTGATATCAACTTTATCAACAGGAATATTTGTCCCTCAAAAAATAGGAGGATCAAGTAAATTTTATTTTTACCATTGAATTCAGGGCAAAAAAGTGAAGTCATCTTACGGCACAAAAGATGTTCGGAAAAATTCTCCATGGGTCGTGCATAGATATAAATAAGTAATACGCTAAATGTACAATTGTTATTAATTTTTGAAAAGATAAGGATTTATTTAGAATCAGTATAAATGTTATACTTTTAATCATTGTAACAGAATTTTAAATGTTAGCTACCATTTTTATGAAAAACTTACAATTTTGGTTGTTGTTCACCCTTGTATAATATATAAGTAAAGAAAGATTTATTTTAGGTGTTCGAAGTGCCGGTTTTTTAGGATCTACCATACCTAAGTGAATTCATTCATGCACATGTACCTAATAACTATAAAAATCTATAAATCAGTAAAAATGATTAGAACAAATCACAAGAAATAAAGGGGTAATTAAAAAATGTTATAACAAACAATGCTAATCTAGTCCACTAATTATCTGAAAACCAGGCAATTTACAGAAGGTGTCATTATAGAAAAATGCAGTAAATGCATTGAATAAGTAATTTATTCAACGGTAACAGAAATAGGTATTTGTGCATCTCCAGTCAAATATTGTACAGCTTTTCGATAAACTTGTTTACATAATTAGTCCTTGATCATTATACATGGTCTATTGTGTTTAACAATAAATGAAGAGAATATGCAAAACTGAGAAGGATAGATACATCGTTGGTTTCACTCAAGGAGATCATGTAGCAGTGTGTATTGTTGGTAGTCTAACCAATTACAATAACACTGAAATACAAATTGCCTACAGAGGAGCCTTAAGCATAAAAAGCAGTTCGCCATGCTAACCCCAGCCATTTTTCTGCAACTGCCCCGGTGGTCTATAGCAATTCATCTTCTCTGCCCCTAAAGTGAGTTACTAAAGAACCTAAATGTTGCCTCTGCGGAGCCTCAAAAATTGAAACAAAATGAACAATTAACATTTCGAAATTTATTTTAGGGACCATTTATCGATTCACCAAATGGGGAGCCACCATTTTTAAAAATAGAAGAGTTGAATGACCCGAAACACGCCCCCTATAAATACATATTTCGCCTTTGTTACCGTATACTACGTTTAAGCCAACAAGATTACCGTAAAAATCAGGTGATTTGCTTTAGATTCAGACCTAGTAAAAATTATGACCTGAAAATTGTAGGAATACATCGCGAAACACTTCGGGTTTATGCAAAAACAAATTGGTTATGACATCTTAGCTGAGGACACTATTACGGCGTTACTGCATAACAATCGTAAACTATTAGAGAAACACATAACTGCCGCTGAGATTGAAACATTTGTCGGGTTGGTGCGGAAGAATATGTTCAATTGGGAATCTCGATTTTTGGATTATTTATCCGACTTATGCATCTCGAATAAAAAGGCGATCCCTGTTACGCAAGAATTGATATGTAAGAGCGTTCTTAGTCAAAAGAACTCTGATATTTTGCTAGAGACTCGTATGATGAGAACACAAGTCGAGGTGCAGGAAATTCAGGAGGATGGCATGCTAGAGAGCGAGGATGGGGAGATGGAACCTTTGGTAACTTTGGTCGAGGAGCAGCAAATTATTTTACTGTGGAAGAATCGACAAAAGTCGAGGGCACTGGTAGAGTTGTGCCAGGGCGCCAAGATGGGCAGTCGCGATGATCAAGCGATTTTGGATTATTACAGACATCAGTTGGATCTGTTCTCTAATATGTGCTTAAATCGACAATATCTGGCCTTAAATAATTTATCGCCCCATCTTGATATAGATCTGATTTTAAAATGTATGGCGGATGAGACTGTTAATTATGATCTGAGAGCGTCGTTTTGCCGATTAATGCTGCATCTTCATGTTGACAGAGATCCTCAAGAACCCGTTACACCTGTGAAGTATGCGAGATTATGGTCTGAAATTCCTTCGAAGATGTCAATTCATGAGTAAGTCGAGGAACGTTCTTATTATTTTCTTCCACTCAGAAATAGTATGCATAATATTTTACAGTGTACCGGCTCCCAAAATTATTTAGTCCCCCCTCCTCCCCCCTTCTTCCTGTTGTTATATCAGTTATCGATTGACAAATTGTACCCATTTGTAGTTATGACAGTAATAAAACTCCAGATCCTAACAAGGAGGTAGTGAGGTCAAGGTTTTGTTCTACGATCGCGTTCGTCGAAGATTACCTGTGCAACGTTGTAGCAAAAATGTGGTCTTTTGGTGATCAAGAACAAAACAGATTGACTTTTGAGGTCTGTAACGGATTCGCATTAAAACATCTTTGAAAGTTCTTCATATTGTAGGTGGTGAAATTAGCGCGGGAATTGATCTATTTTGGATTTTATAGTTTCTCTGATCTGCTTCGATTAACAAAAACGTTGCTTAGTATACTTGATTGCATTTCGGAGAACGACTATATGCATGGAAGGGTTCCCACTGGCGATATCGATTGTAAGTAGTATTCATGCCGTATTATGTTTGGGGTACATATCATACTAAATTGGTACTGTTTATTTACATATAGCGGAGGAATCATCTGTAACTGAGGAGAGAGGTACTTTTTTATACAAGTGGGTCATTTGATATGTGTGTTTGCTTCTGTTTTCTGTTTACTTGGTAAATAGCATTTGTTGCTTTAGTTATGTATCGTCTGTTGAGCTTTGTTAATTGCCTTTGTTGTAAAACAACTAAAAGGTTGAACTGTATTGCATTTGTTTATTGTGTACAGTACTAGAGTGGAGTTATCGTGTTATTAGCTGCAGGATGCGCGTCGCCAGAATTGCGAAAGGAGCGAGTTTGAAAACATTGGTCTCGCAAATTATTATTGCAATGAAAATGTTTATTAACTGTTTTTTGGATGTAATTCATCTTTTGTCCCTACCACAATTTAAAATTTAAACAAAAATTGAATTTCGATTTGGAATAGTGCACAATAGATACTAACAAAAATGTTTATTTACGGATTTTAGCGTAAGACAACAAAATTAAGGTAACGTTTATGTACTCGATTTTCCGTCGTCTGTCTGTCTGTCTGTTTTATCAAGATCTCGGCCCCTCGGTTATCTAGAGACTTCGGTTTTCGCTAATTGATAGCTGCTAGGGTCTGTATTTGCCCGTTACTCATCATTCACAGTGTTGTTATGCAGCAACACCCACAAATGGGTTTTGATGAAAAGAATTTTACAACAAGAGGGTAACGAAACTGCTTGCACACAGAGGTATAGAGCACTGCATTACTTCACCTTATACACCACAGGAGAATGGTGTTGCAGAACGAGAGAACTGCATTATTGTGATATGCGTCCTTTCTATGCTGAATCCAAGCAAGTTGTCAAAGGAACTGTGGGCAGAAGCCTGTAATGCGGCCTTATATCTTCTGAAGCGCACCGGAAAGTCCGCTATTGAAAACAAAATTCTATGAACTGTGGTATAAATGAACTGAATATTATGTGCATGTAAATAGAATTTCCGCTCAAAGTTTGATGACAAAGCTTACGGTTGGGTACCGGAACGACAGGGACGGGTTTGTTGTTGGAATAAGCGTTTTGTTGAATTCATAACAAAACGGAATTCAAAGACAGTGATGCTGATTAGCGTCTTGTCTACCGTACTAAATGAAAAAATGTAAATTTGGATTCGTGACACTTTGGTCTACTGCGCAACAGCTCATAACAAAATAACTCCACTCTATCTTTGATGATGCAGAGATCATTCATGTTTACATATTTCTCTTTCTTAGCTGAAGGGGGAGTGTTACGATCTATAGGTGATATGGGAGCTGTGATGACTTCATTGACTCTTGGTCCTGTCGGTCGTGGTGTTGTGACTCCCACTAGTAGTCAAGTGAAAGGTTCACAATTTTTGAAGGAATACCCCTTGGTAATGGATACCAAATTAAAAATAATAGAAATATTACAGGTAATAATTGTTAACCATCGCGACGGTATGGATTTGATTTGACCTCATTTTGCAGTTTATATTAGATGTGAGATTGGATTATCGCATAAGTTGCCTTTTGAGTATCTTCAAGCAAGAATTCGATGAAGCCGAAAAACACACCATAGATCCTCTAACTCATAGGCACAAAAACATTGACTTTGATATGATCGGTAGTCAAGCCGAGGGTATATTCGGCAGTAGCGAGGAATGTGCAGTCCTAGATCTTGACGGACACGGTGGACGAACATTCTTACGTGTGTTGCTGCATCTTACAATGCATGACTATCCATCCTTGGTGTCGGGGGCGCTTCATCTACTCTTCCGCCATTTCAGTCAACGTCAAGAAGTATTACAGGCATTTCGACAGGTAATTCGTCTTCATCTAATTTTTTTAATGAATTTAATAATAATTTCCACAAAAAAGTTAACCAGAATTGTTTTTTTCTTACCATCTGCAATAATTGGTACCTACAACCAATACAAAATAGTGCGACTATAGACTAAAATATAGGTAGAATAGATGATCGGTAGTCCGGCACAAAATTTTTTCGCCTATGCCAGTTTACTGGAATTGCCGGATTAGCTGTTTTATGGGATAAAAAGCATTTTTTTAGCGCATTTCAAAAAAAAAAAAAAATGCGCTATTGTGGCCCCGTCCGTCCGTCCGCTCGTTTTGAGACGCTACTAGATTTTTATGTTAAGAGCTATTGTTCTACTTTTTTCGCTATTTGGTTCGTTATGGTGTCGAGCACCAAGGAAGGAATTTTTTCTGTACCGCTTACGAAAAAGCGAGACAATTTTTTTTCGCGGCTCAAAAAAAGGCAGTGTACAACCTTCCTTTTTTACCAAAAATCGACTGCACCAAAATTTCTCGGGAAAAGAATTTTTCTTATTAATTTTGGTGCGTAGAATCCAAAACAATTCGTACTTTTTCGATCAGACTTAATACTGATCTACTAACAGGAATCAAAAAAGTTTATAGATCAGAAAACCAATTTCGAAAGAAAATTCAAAGGGCTGTAACTTTTGAACTAGCAGCCCAATCTTGGAACTTGTTTGAAATTATGGATTCTACAGGCCACATTCTATTAAGAAAAATTTTTTTCCGGGTCGATCGAGAAAGTTTTTTTTTTTAGGGCCTCAAAAAAAGGCAGTGTAGCACACCTTCCTTTTTTACCAAAAAATTCGAGAACGCACCTAATGATTCTCTGAGGAAAAACACTTTTTTCTATTTAATTTTAGGGGCGTAGAATCTCAAAACAATTCGTACTTTTTCGAGATTAGACTTCTTCAATGCACAAAGTATAGATAGAGCTAGAAACCATTTCGAAAGAAATTCAAAGGGCTGTAACTTTTGAACTAGTAGACCCCAATCTTGGAATTGTTTGAAATTATGGATTCTACAGGCCACATCTTCTAAGATAAGATTTTTTTTTCCGGGCGATCTGAACAATTTTTTTTTTTACGGCAGTGTTTATTTTGTAAAAAAACAAAAACCGTTTTTTACATGTTCCATAATTTTACACTTTTGCCGTTTATTAACGATCCTTAGGATAGATCGATTTATAATGTGATATGCATAATGCTGCTCTGTTCGTGGCTGCCTAGTCTGG